TATCGTATCCATTTTATGATATTATTGTTGTAAGGATTATTATTAGATATTATATAATTATTTTCGATATAATCAAGGTAGATTTCTGCTAAAATTCCAGATAGGGGCATCCCCATTGGTAAACCTTCATTAATCTTATAAAAGTTATCGTTAAAAGTGCAGTAATTTTGTGTGACTATATGTTTTAAAATATTATTAAGTTGTGAGGTTATATTATTATCTTTGAAATGACTATTGAACAGGTTACTTTTATTTTTTGTTTAAGAAGTTTTTTTATATTTTTATATGTATATATTTACATATACATTTTCCCATATATAATATAACTTGCAACATGGATTCATACAATCAATTTTTTGTTTAAGGTTTGGTTTAAGGTAGTTTAAATTCTACCACCATTTTTTTACAACTTTCAACTTTTCGACATATTAAATAAGGGTAAGCAATTACTAAATAGTTAACTATTGTTGTTTACTTGTTATCTCTTTCTTGCATTTACATAATATAAATCATGTAAAAGTTAATTTTGACGAGATTATCATAGGAAATATTGAGCATATCACATATGATACTATTAAAAATAAAGTTACTTATTCACAATGATTTTAGGTTTGTCTGATGAGGCAATTCAACATTGAACTTCAATATCTCTGATTATAAAGAAAGGAATTCTGATATGGATGAAGATGACAGACAGATCCAGGATATAGATAATATCGAGGAACAGTAAAGTTTTGCAGGAACTAAACAGTGGCTGAGATTAGACGTATCAACGACTGTATAATTCAACGATGAATATTTCTGCAAGTAGACCAGTAATATAAAGCGTTCAACTGATTTTAGACTCGTATTTGTCGCACCAACACCAGGTGCACTGAATATCTCAAAGGACAACCAGAGGGCTAATATCAAAAACCCAATACAATATTTTGAGCGGTATATGAACGCTGAATCTTTGCAAAGATGGCTTTTTGTACAAATGTTAAGCCCTTTGCGTGAACGGAAAAATGTTTTGACACTACTGCACAGAAATTTAACGTAGTTTTGGGTCATGATTATTAGAGTGTTGACTTAATTGCTAGCAATTTGTTTAAATTTAATGTTTGTTGTTAATAAAAATTTGTATTGTAAAACCTTTTCTTTTTGGTCGTCACAAAATCTACTTACAATGTTATACAATGCTTACAATTTTATGGAAAAACGAAAAAAAAAACTACTCTTGTGGTTTTCTGGAATTTTAATAGTAATTGTTGAACATGTTGGTTTAATTCAACAACAAAAAATATATGGTATAATTTAAATTAGTGACCTCGAATTTCTTTTTTGCTAAATTTATCAGTTTTTTTTGTTTCAAATCAGCGAAGAATTTCTTCAAAACGAATAAATCCAAAATAATAAAGATGGCTAATTAGTCAAATCAATTAAGGAAATTGTTTGGAAAAGAAATATTTAGACGTCAGAAATGTTCGACTTCGGTGGCCCTGAATGCAACCGTTTTCGCCAAAACGGTGTCCTTTTATCTATACCGAAAAAGGTAGCAAGACAATAGGAACGGCGGTGGCGGCGGCAAATCNCGTCTGCCGATAAGTTGATATTAAGATCAATAAAAAATGAAGAACACCGCGCTGTACTTAAAATAGCTCAAAATTATCAAACTTCCAGGCCTTGTGCAATTGTTACGAAACCGAATTTTAAAAACCTGTTATCACAGTCAGAAAGGGCGCTCCTTCAGCTATCTAAAACCGGGTTTTCGTCTGCCGATAAGTTGATATTAAGATCAATAAAAAATGAAGAACACCGCGCTGTACTTAAAAAAGCTCAAAATTACCAAACTTCAAGGACTTGTGCAATTGTTACGAAACCGAATTTTAAAAAACTGTTATCACAGTCAGAAAGGGCGCTCCTTCAGCTATCTTAATCCGGGTTTTCGTCGGTCAATATCTATCGGCGTCATGCTTAAATCACCCTTAATGTCTATCCCTACACGCAGAAACGCTTAAATACTCTTCCTCTAAACAACTTTCTTATTTGATAGGGAGAAAACTCTAGAACCATATCTATCTTATCGAAAATTTCCTGCTCTTTCTAGTGGTTTATAACACGACGACCTGAGTGAAAATCATTATAAACGATTTATGGAAAAATCCCTGAAATCGGTCTAAAGATTTAACTTTTCTGCAATTTTTTGGTATAGATTTCAAAATTGTTCATTTTTAACCCTTTAACGGTTAGCGGCTTTTATAGAGACCACTTGTCAATAAGGTCAAATAGTTACATTACCATAACTAAATCGTTTCTAAAAACGAAAAAATAATTTACCTGTTAAACGGTTTAACGAGTTATGACGCAATCGATATTTTTTTCAAATGGCAATCCCCCATTTTTATTACGGAATACAAAAGAAGATTTTTTTCTGAATCTAGTACATTCAATATTAATATTGGTTACATAAGAAAATTTTCGAGAAAAATTAGTTTAAACTTTAATTATTTCAAATTTATATAAATGATAAAAATAGCAGTAGCCATGAGTAACTGTGGTAACCAATTATTTTAAACAATTCCCTGAGTGTCAAAAACTGATTTAGTAGCTTCTTGAGGTGTGGTGGCGCGCCATCTTGTTGGAATAACTGCCGTTGGAATTGAGTTGGGTCAAAATTAGCGGGATGGAAGGAATAGCACAGTTTTTAAAAATTTAAACATGTCTTTCCAGTTAAGGTTTCCTCAAATCTTTTGCGGATAATGGGTGTGCGCATTTTAAAGTATACCAGTAAAGTAACTAAATTTAAAGTCTAGTAGTATGTTTACTAGTAACTCTACTAGTATGGAATGTAATCACAGTCTTCTGATTTTTCAGCATATAATACGGTTGTGAGGGAAAAAAGTAGAGTTGCCATTTAAAAAAATAAACTTTTTGAGATACGGAAATTTGACACACATTTCTGACCATCCAGTATAACTTTAATTAATAATTGTTGTTAAATTAAGGTGTATAATTGTTATTAAAAGACACCATTAGAAAGAGCAGAAAATTTTCAATAAGATAGATATGGTTCTAGAGTTCTTTCCTGCTCATATAAGAAAGTTATCGACCCGAACAGGGTTTAAGAATGGCTAAAACGTGTGAATTTAGCAGTTTTTGGCCAAAAATGTACGTGTGCAAGCGCGTGATCGCCGCGTGTTTTACATCACTAGAAAGAGCAGGAAATTTCCGATATGATAGATATGGTTCTAGAGTTTTCTCCTGCTCATATAAGAAAGTTATCGACCCGAACAGGGTTTAAGAATGGCAAAAACGTGTGAATTTAGCAGTTTTTGGCCAAAAATGTACGTGTGCAAGCGCGTGATCGCCGCGTGTTATACACCACTAGAAACAGCAGAAAATTTTCAATAAGATAGATATGTTTCTATAGTTTTCTCCCTATCAAATAAGAAAGTTGTTTAGAGGAAGAGTATTTCAGCGTTTCTGCGTGTAGGGATGGACATTAAGGGTGATTTAAGCATGACGCCGATAGATATTGACCNATTTAAAGTCTACTAGTATGTTTACTAGTAACTCTACTAGTATGGGATGTAATCACAAAGTCTCCTGATTTTTCAGCATATAATACGGTGGTGAGGGAAAAAAGTAGAGTTGCCATTTAAAAAAATAAACTTTTTGAGATACGGAAATTTGACGCACATTTCTGACCATCCCGTATAACTTTAATTAATAATTGTTGTTAAATTAAAGTGTATAATTTGTTATTAAAAGACACCATTAGAAAGAGCAGAAAATTTTCAATAAGATAGATATGGTTCTAGAGTTTTCTCCTGCTCATATAAGAAAGTTATCGACTCGAACAGGGTTTAAGAATAGCTAAAACGTGTGAATTTAGCAGTTTTTGGCCAAAAATGTACGTGTGCAAGCGCGTGATAGCCGCGTGTTACACACCACTAGAAAGAGCAGAAAATTTTCAATAAGATAGATATGTTTCTATAGTTTTCTCCCTATCAAATAAGAAGGTTGTTTAGAGGAAGAGTATTTAAGCGTTTCTGCGTGTAGGGATGGACATTAAGGGTGATTTAAGCATGACGCCGATAGATATTGACCGACGAAAACCCGGATTGAGATAGCTGAAGGAGGGTCCTTTCTGACTGTGATAACAGTTTTTTAAAATTCGGTTTCGTAACAATTGCACAAGGCCTTGAAGTTTGATAATTTTGAGCTATTTTAAGTACAGCGCGGTGTTCTTCATTTTTTTATTGATCTTAATATCAACTTATCGGCAGACGGTTTTAGATAGAGAAAGATTCAAGCTTTCAAGTGGTGCATTTAGTTTTTCGCTATCCCTAATTATAAGGAAGATATCAGCTAAGAAAGTAGATAGGAAATTACGGGTAAAAGTTTGTTGCCGGGAGGTTTGTTGCTATTGTCGCACGGGTTTTATATATTGATGTTAAAAAATTAATATTTTTTGTAACAAGTTTATTCTTGTATAACTATGAATCAGCTTGGTTAAAGGCATTCTTGGGCTGATATGATGAGTGTGGTTGTCGCCATCACTTTATCCACCTTTATCAGTGTCACCTCATCATAGCTTGTAATCTAAGAATAAAACAACAACTTTCTACAATCATTTTTTAAAAAATCGTCAAAAATGGAATTCTTAAGATATATTCATGAAATACTCACATAATATAGAGCAAAGCATGTACTTTCTAATAAACGAAACCGTACTTGAATATCTCTATTCGTTCGTGAGATATTAATTTTTTAAATCAGCCCGAATTTTTATTATTTTATAAATACAATTTTTGAAAAACTCGCCAAAAATCGAATTCTTACGTTATCTTGATGAAACACTCGGGATTTATGGAGTAAAGTATGTACTTTTATATAAAGAAAACCGTACTTGAAAATCCTTATTCGTTGGTGAGATGTATAATTATTACCTCAATTTGAAACGATTATTTTAAGTACTTTTTAATGAACTATTTATTTTTTCTATTTTTAGATAAAAATGGATCGTTCGGACAGCTCATTTTGTAAATCGCCAGCTGATCAACTATTAAAAGCAGTTCAAACAAATGCAATTTCAACGATAAAAACCATCATTGACGAAAATAACGATTTAATCAATGAAATTTATCCGAAATTTCAAAAATCGATCGTTCAAATTGCAGTTTCAAATTATTCTAAAACCGTTTCAAAAGAAACAGTTTCTTGTTTAATAGAACTCGGAGCCGATCTTTATTTAAATGTAAGCGATAATAATAATCAACAAACCGTGCATTTCGCCGTTTTGGGTCAAAACCCAACAATTTTAAAAACGATCGTAAATAAACTTGGTAAAAATCGGATTAACGATGTCACAAAAATGAAAGAAACTGCTTTACATTTATTGATACGAGATGGTGATGGGAAATCAAAAGATTTTGAGAATTGTTTGGATGTTTTGTTAGAAAACAACGATGTTGATGTTAACAAAGAAGATAGAAATGGGAATACGCCTATTTTCATTAGCGTTCGAAAAGGTTATAAGAACGTTGTTGCAAAATTATTGGGTTCAGGAAAAAGAGTTGATGTTGATAATTATAGTTATCGAGGGAAAACTTTGAGGGAAATCATTTTGAGTTGGAACATTGAAATTAACGACCAAAATTTTAACCGAAACCCGCATGAAAATTTAATCAGTTTCATTAATACGAAGAATGAAGATGGATTTATAAATTATTTTAATCAAAACGAAGATAATTTTGATTTTAATGACGCTATTTTCAACAACGAGACGATCCTTCAAAGCGTTTGTGAAAAAAATTTAATCAAAATCGTCGATTTTTTATTAACTAAAGAAATCGATGTCAATCAAATTGGGAATTTAAATCGAAAATCGCCCTTAGAGATTGCATCTGAAAATGGGTTTCACGCGATTTTTAAAAAATTATTACAACAACCATCAATAAAAATCAACGAAAACATCTTAATAAATCTATTACAAAACGTTATTTATAAACCAAACGAAGATTGCAACCACAAAGATTGCTTAAAATTTTTATTGAATCAAAACAACGTTAACATCCCTATTAACGTTTATAAAGATGGAAACACCCCGTTACATTACGCCGTGAAATATTCAGATCGCGAAACGATTATTAATTTATTAAAACGCGGAGCTTCGTTGGGAAACAAAAACGTTGAGGGTGTTATGCCGATCGATGATATTTACGCGGGAACTTTAGAAACGCATTTAAATAATTGCATAAAAACGAAGAATAACCCACCGTGTGATCGTCAAAGTACAATCGTTTCGTTTGATTATTCCACGTTATTTTGTAATTACCCCAATGAGGGGTTAAAAAATTACGAAAACGTTTCATTAATCGATGGGAAAAATCAAAAAATTATTCCGGAAAGTGATGTAATTTTATCGATAAGTAAAAATTCGGATTTAAAATATTTGCTGAAACATCCCGTTATTTCCGGGTTGTTGTATTTAAAATGGGAAAAAATGAAACCGTTTTTTGTTATTAATTTCATTTTTTATTTAATTTTTATGATGTCTTTAATCGGATTTATTTTTTTTAAGGAATATTCAATTTTTTATTATTTGTTATCGTTTACATTTACTGTATTAGTTTTAAGGGAAATTATTGAATTGTTTTTGGCCCCATTAGTTTACGTTAAAGACACAGAGAATTATATCGAATTCTTTTTAATCCTCGCAACATTTTTAACTATATTTTATAAAAATAACGAATCAGATTTATGTTATAAACAAATCTCCGCCAGCTCAATCGTGTTGGGCTCTATTGAGATGATGTTATTAATCGGGCAATTACCACTATTTTCGACTTATATCTCAGTGATTAAAACGGTTACTTGGAATTTTTTTAAGTTTATAATTTGGTCGATATTTTTACTTATCGCTTTTACCCTTGGCTTTTATATCATTTATCACGAACCAAAAGAAATCAATAAAAATAACTCAACAAAACAAGAAGAAACCGACTTTTTCGCCGACCCTACATTAACTTTCATCAAAGTAATCGTAATGAAAATTGGGGAATTGGACGCGAGTTCTTTAACATTAGAAACTTATTTAAGCAAAATATTTTTTTTATTTTTCATATTTATGGTAACAATAACCCTTTCGAATGTGCTTAACGGTTTAGCTGTAAGTGATATACAAACCATAAAAAATAACGCGGAAATCGTAAGTTTAGTTGAACGAATCGACCGGATTGTTTATGTAGAAAAAATGCTTCTTGGTGATACATTATTATCAAAAATTTTAAGAGCTTTTGTGCGCTATTTTTGTTGTTGTAATGATAATTGGACTGATCACGAAATCCCAACGTCGATTGCTAAGAAAATATTTTTGTTTCCTTACACGTTTAAAAATAACCAAATTGAAATGTTACTTTATTATAAAGGCGAAATTGTTAAAGAAAATAAACTAACTGGTTGTTATAAAAAATGTGATAAAACTCGCATGAATTCCAAGGTAATGAAGAGTACCAAAGAGATTGTATTGAAACGATTAAATTCGGACCGAGAAATTGTCGAAGAACGGTTATTAAATGTTAAAAGAAGTATTGATAAAATTGTTGATGAATCGAAAAAAGGGAGTGTTGAGTATTTGGACGTTATAAATAATTTGAATGCTTTAGAAAAGAATTTTTGTTAATATTTTTATTAAATTTATTTTTTAAATATCCTGTATTATTCTTTTTTTAGTAGAACGTCTCTTTTTTGTTGTACAATTTATGTAACGTTTAAATAAATGTCTTAAAACTCTTGTATGTGGGGCCTTTGTACATCCCCACACTTTATAATTCATTCAGGGGTCAGAAAACCAGCCCAAAGTTTTAATAAACGTTAATATAGAACAGAAGGGTATGTTATTTATATCCGAAATTTGGTCTTCCATTTCACACCCTCTACAGAGGGATCTGATTGCCAGCTTCATGTAGAACATGTGCTTATTACGTAACCTGCAGTGCCCAGTCAGGAAGTGGGTGAGGAGCCTCAAATCACTTTTTGATTTTCCCAGGAACTCAGTAAATCTCTTCCAGTCATGTCTTTGCAAAGACTGCTACTGCAGTCTCATCCGATCTATCGCAAAAAGCTCGATGGAGTTGATGAGCTTTGATGCTGTATTATCTAGCCGTCTTGAGAGATGTGCTACTTCAATTGGTCTCCTTATTGTGCTCTCAAACCCGACAATATCGACACGATCCATCAAATGATTCTTCATTCATTCATGTCCTAAGAAATTGTTAGAGCCCAGGCTCCTCATTCATTGTTACCAATGTTCTAACATCAAATCCAGATATTGACTGGCTCTTATGGTCCCTACAGACGCTCCGACTTATCCGACGACTTGCCTGCGCAGTTCCGGTTTGCGCAGGCAAGTCCTAGTAATTTTTCGCAATTCAGGCAGCCTGTGCAGGCGGATGACCTAGCCTGTGCTAAATCCGTCTTGTTTGATATTTTTATAAAACTGTGCAGGCAAGTTCGTACGTGTGTAGGCAAGCTGAGTCCGTTACCTCAGTTTTTGTCGTAAAGTAACTAGTTAAAATACTTAACTTAACCTATAAAGTGAACATACTTAGTTTTCTTTACGTAAATTGAGTTTCATCGAACATTACAAAAACTTTCCATGTCTTTGGAAAGTGAAATCCAAAGAATATAGTGATAAACATAAAAAATCTGCGGCATACGATGTGTTGGTCAACAAAATGCAGGAAGTAGATCCAAACGCCACAAGAGAAAGTGTAGTAAAAAAAATAAATAACCTGCGCAGTGCATACAGAAAGGAAGTGAAAAAGGTAATAGCCAGTAAACGTAGCGGTACTGGTGAGGATGAAGTACATATTCCTAATCTTTAGTATTACGAATATTTAACATTCCTCGCCGATCAAGAGGTTCCAAGATCTTCCTGCAGTAATGTTGATACACCACTAGAAGATTCAGAAGATATATCTGAGGTTAGTGTTAAACAATTATTTGTTAATGATAAGAAGTACAGATCGGTTTCTATGTATTTTATTTACAAATAAAAACATCATATTTATGTAGATGTAAAGTAATACTTATACATGCATAAGTTTGGTTTTCTTATCAACAGATTTTATTCTAACATTGAATAATTTTATTCTGCCACTCCACTGCACCTTCATTATTAAAATAAGAAACAAACATTTCACGAACCCGTTTTGGATCTGCCGCTGGATTTCGATTTATACTAGTTTGCAAATTCATAAAACATCTTGTATCTATATTATCTAAATCTTCCGTTCGTATATAATCATTTGAACACTTTCTTCTTAAGTAATTGTGTAAAACACAGTAGCAAGCAACTGCGGTATCGGTGTTATGTAATTGTAAAGGTATGGCTGTATGAAATATGCGAAATCTGGCAGCTAAAATGCCAAAAACATTTTCAATAATTCGTCGCGCTCGTGATAGCCGATAGTTATATATTTTAGATTCTTTGTTTAATTCACGTTGAGGAAATGGTTTTAATATATCTGCTCGTAGGGAGAACGCTTCATCACCTATAAATACATATGGTAATTCTTCACAACTGTTTAAAACTTTTGTAGCAGGAGGTATATTCAGTTCTTGGTTTACTAATTTATTAAACAAGTTAGTATATTCAAGTACACCACCATCGGAGATTCTACCATTTACTCCGTAGTCAATCATAATAAATTCATAATTTGCATTTGCAATAGCCATTAAGACTAAGCTGTGTGTTCCCTTGTAGTTGTAATAATAGGAACCACTTCCAGATGGAGGTACTATTTGGACGTGTTTTCCATCAATTGCACCTAATAAATGAGGAAAGTTCCACCTTCGTTCAAATGCTTGTGCAATTGATCTCCATTCATCCTCTGAGTTAGGAAACTGAAAATAAAAAAAATATATATAAAAGTTAAGATTTGTAGCAAATGTATTTTTTGCTTTTTAGACCCATGAGAATTTAATTGAACACTCCTTGCCAAAAACTCCAAGTTCAGTCGAATCACGACCTAGGAGTAGTGCGGAAAACCAAAAGTAAGTAATAAACTACAAAATATTAAAGAAGATGATCAATTTGACTGCATTGGAAAAACAGTTGCGGTAAAACTGCGAATGTTACCAAATGACCAAAGGATTTTCGCAGAGAAATTAATAAATGATGTTTTATTTGAGGCAGAATTAAGTGCTTTAAATAGAACGAGTAAAGTAGTTGCCAATAATAATAATCAAGAAAATGTCGGTTATCCTAGCAATAACCAAAATCATAGAAATGGCAACTGGGGCGAACACCAAAATTACAACAACACATTAGTTGGATACATCACAAATTTTGATACAGAAAAATATTAATAAAGAACCTAACTTGTGTAATGATTTTGTAATATATGAAATAATATATTCGTTACTTACCTTTAAATAATCTTTTCTTAAAGCCTTCCAAATAGCATGACAAGTATCTGGAATTATATAGCTTGAGGTAATATTATAGTAGAATATTTTAAATCTGCGTATGTTCTTCCCGTTGCTATGTATCGAAGTGTTGCGGTGAGACGCTCATGACAACTTACAGCTTGTCGCATAACTGTGCTCTGCTTTTTTATATAAGGTGACACTACCCTTAATAATTCGAGATAAGTTTCTTCATCCATTCTTAGGTAATTAAACCGGTCGCCCTTTTCAATTCTTAATTCCGATAATAAATTTGTATGGGAAAAACTATTTCTTTTGAGCAACCACTCTTTTTTGAATTTATATTTCTTCTTTAATAAGCTTATTATTAGAGCACTTAACAATAGAACATCACTACTTCCCTCCATGCTGAAAAACTGAGCTAATCCAGCAAATGGGACTGTACGTGTGGAGGCAATTCCATGGTTCAGGCGACCTGTGCAGGCCAAAACTGCGCCGTAAGTGCCTGTACCGGTAAGTCGGAGCGTCTGTAGGGGCCTTTACAACCTTCGCTTAATATCACCATCAACCTCGTTAATCAACGTTCCTGACTTCGTCAAAATCGTCTCGAACATCTAACATCATCTCAGCTTTCTACATAGTTCTAAACAATCTTCAATATGGTCCCTAACAACGAAAAATATCTTTTAGCATCTTCGTGAACATCGCTGGCACTTCATAACATCTTTTATAATTAACAACAAATTAAAATATAAATATGAAATGATGCAACCCAAATTGCACAAAGAAAAATATAAATAAAATACAAATTTATTTAAGAGCAACGATTGGAATTAATCAATGGTCCATAAACTTTTTGGAATAGGATTACGTGATCAAATAATATGTTAAAACGCCGCATAAAGAATACCTACACAGAAAGAAAAGATTGGGTATATTTAACTAAACATTGGGCATAATTATCTAGAATTTGTGGTTAAAAATTAGCCTAACAATGTTATTAGTTGATGTAGATATTTTCAAATAGTTGATTTACTTTGTCGAATATTTAGAAGATTTGTTGATAATATACTTGAAAGAACTAATGTTCTAGTGGTGACTGTTTCTAATTATGTATTCATTTGATCTACATCTTTAGATAGATTGACTAAAATAGAATGAATGATTTATCTTAAATGTAGTAAAGCCAAAAGAAATGGATTAGCTATTATCACAATTCCTTTAGATGAATTATCTAATAATTTATTGTTGATATGTCTAAATAAGTAGTAATTCCAACTACATTTATATATATGTTTCTGCTAGGTTTTTTAGTTATGTTACCTAAATTATATAGATAAATCTTTACATAATATTAGATAATATTACTAGAATTAGTAGATATATTTTCTACTATACATTAGGTATAAGTACTATTGTTGCTGTCATTTTAGGTATAAATAAAAGAAATGAAAACTGTATTTAAATGATTTATTTAATAAAATAAATACAGGAAATATAAATAAATAAATAAAATTGTTACATTTACATACATTAAAATGTTACATATTGTTCTTTCCACTGAAACAAACATTTTCTAAATTTTATTCGTTGTCCAAATTTATCAGCAGGTATTAGATTGTCAATATCGGATATGGTCAATTCTTTAAAAACCTCAATATCAATCTTTTTAGCTATAAATAAATCACAAATTTAAACATTTCTAATCTGTTGTTAACCAGTTTACAGGTTGTCTTATAAAAATACCAAGCGGTATCGTTTCTTTGTTAATTTCATTCAAATACACATACCTATCTGATATTCGTTATGGAAAATTCGTATACAATCATCAAACTACCGACTTTATTGGATAACTCAACCAATCTTGTGAACTAATTTTACTAATGGGTAAATAGATAATCGAACTAATTTTTAGATAAATGATCTATTTGAAATAAACTCAAGTCCGTAAATGATATTTTTATGTAGGTTTAACAAGTTAAATAATATTCATAATCAGATAGTAATTATAATAAGAAAAAAAATGCTTGGATTGGTTTTTATAAACAACCTGCATAAGGGTACGAACACGTAGAACGCTGATTCGTGCTTTTTGTAAGCGCTTGTGTGCCAGCGCAAGTAATCCAGATAAATCCTTATGGCCTGCGTATGTCTGGAGATAAAGCTATATTATACTGGCTTGATGCATTTTATCAACAAGCGCTTGCAACCAGCGCGAACCAGCGTTCTACGTGTTCGTACCATACTACATATTATATTATAATGAAATTCGTTTAAACAGAAATATTACTCTGATGATCTACCGACTTTAACTAATAATTAATTTTACTTACCTAAAAAATCATCAATTAGGTCACCTAATCCCCATTCCACAAGCAATGAACTAACAACGTCTTCTTGCACGACCGCTTCATTAACTATTTGATCTGCCATTATAAATATGTATAAAATGTGGACGCACACTACCTCGTATTTCGTACACGTGTTGAACACGTCAGAACACGACTAGAACACTGTAGCCGTAAAGGAAAACATCGGGCAAGCATTCTTAAAATCTAACTAGTTTAGGCACATGATACAAAGATTAGTTATCTTTTCAATTCATTACTAGATATATAATATGAAAATACAACTACTACATTAGACAACATTAGGTAATTGTACCATGTCAATAACGAATGGTCTATATTTCTATTTATACGTAAATTTAACTACTTTCTTTGTTTATTTATGCCAGACTACTTTAGTAATCAAACTTCTGTAATCAGTTTTTAGCCTCCTATAAGCAATATTTAATCTCCTCCAGGCAGTATCTAGTCTCATACAAGCAGTATTAGTTTCTACAACCAATAGGTTGTTTTCTGCAAACAGTATTTCATATTTTGTAAGCACTTTTTAGTTTCCTGCAAATAGTATCTAGTCTTCTGCAAGCATTATTAACTTCTGCGAGCAATATATCGTCTCCTGCAAGCAGTATCTGGTCCCATACAAGTAGTATTAACTTCTGCAACCAGTAGGTAGTCTTTTGCAAACAGTATTTAATCTTCTGTAACCAGTATTTAACTTGTTACAAGCCACTTTTAGTCTTTTAGGAAGGAAATTGTAAAATTGGTCAATTTAAGTGACACGGTTTTAATTAAAACTCTATTTTTAACTGAAAAAAATTTGCTTTTCTGCTAAAAAAAATATTTTAAATCAAATCGTTTTGCGAAATAGGTAAAGTTTGTCTTCTACAAACTTGTATAATCAGTTTTTAGTCTTCTGCAAGCAATATTTAATCAAATCGTTTTACTTTAGTTGTTTCTATAAACAACGAAATCTTTAGTTAATACCTCTAGAATAATTGTAAAACTAGCTAATTTGATTTCATCTAATTTGGAGTTGCAATAACATCTTATATATTTAGGTCAATTTTATAGGATTTTAGATAAAATAACGAATTTTTCGGCAACTAATCATAGTTAGTTAAACTTTCCATTTCATTTTTCTCTGTGTACTGTGACCAAGACAAAACACAACAAGAAAATAAGGAAATGTATACAAAATCAATAAGGAAATTAAGTGTTTAAAGGTGACGAACATTAATTAGCAATAAAAAATTCCAAAAACATACTAAAACATTAATTTATTTTATACCTACTTCATTGTTTTTAAAATAACCTTAAAAAGTAAACACGTTTTCAACACTTCTTAATTTATCACTCGATATTCGAATCGATTCCAACCACGCTAACAATTCTTCGGGTGGATTCGGAGATTTCGGTTCGTTCTCTTTCAACAATTCCCTCAGAACTTGTCTAGCATTGACAACGAGAAATTTTTGTTGACTCATGCAGACGGCCAAAACGAAACCATCGCGTAAATTAATCATTTGATGTTCCAAATAAAACGATTGTTCGTCCCAATAAATAATCTTCGTTGTGATCTTGAACGAAGTAAAAAGAGGAATTGGTCTTCGATAACGAACGTTGCAAGCCGTTTGTAAAACGTCTCCGCCAACGTTTCGAACGATTCGGGTAACCCCGATTCGTGAGTAAAATAGTATTCTTGCAAAATCCATTTCGCGTAAAAATCGGGCGTTGTTCATGTGGCGAAAAACTGTATCTAAATCGTTTGTTGTACAAATTCCTATTTAAAAAATTTAATTAATTCATTCACTTTTGATTTGATAATGTATTTATTTACCATAAGTTAAACTTGTGTCTAAAATATTAATTGGTTCCTCATAAATCGCACAAAACCACAAATTGTAAGATATCCGTAAAAAATAATGCACATCAAAAAGATTAAATAACCCCAAAATAATTGAAAGAGTAATTATTGCGTATAAATTAAATTGATCCAAATCAATTTCTAACTTAAACATTTTCTTGGTTTCGTTAACTCAACTTGTTATTGAGTTGAACTGAATTTTTTATTTGATTTATGCGATTTTTTTCCATACAATTAAGTAAAAATTGTAGGTTGCGATCATAAAAATGTTTTTAATTTTTTTAAGGCGAGTTTAAACTTGAGAAATTTAATGAAAACGAAAATTACTTAGTTATACATTTAATTTTTTTTAATAACATCTTATTTCTAGGAATATTTTCTAATAACAAAAAATAATATAAACTCTTCGTATCCATCAATACTGATTCTTTCATATTTTAACATAATCTTTATCTAAACTTTATTTATACACGGTAACGGGTGCATCACAGAGAAAAAAAGTGCTGAAATATCAATTCTTTTTTAAACGACTCCTCTTAAAGCTTGACTAGAAATTGTGTTACTCTCCATCCATTTTTCTAAATCGGGTGGAATCTCCGGCCGAGTTTTCCCTCGATATTCTGGGTCATTTTTCGAAAGAATCATTTCTTGCATAATTTCTTCTGCGTTACAATTAATCAATCGCGTTTTAGTCATGACAATCGCATTAATAAAACGATCCCCAGGTGAAATAAATCTGTGTTCCATATAAATATTTTGATCGTCCCAATAAGTAACCTACAAAAAAAATAAATATATTGGTGTTAAATGGGTTGCTTATATTTCCAAATTACCTTTGACGTCAAAATGTATTTATGAAACAACTTTACGAATCTTCTATATCTTATTGTTGTGGCCCCCATAACCAATCCACCTCCTTTGCTTTTAATACACCTATACAAACCGGTCCGTTCGTAAAAATCAACACGTGCAAAATCCAACTCTCGCATATATCTCGCATTGTTCATGTGAAATAACAATGTATCGATGTCGGAAGTAACACAAATTCCTAAAAGAATTAATTATTATTAAAAATTATTTTTTTTGAAACATAACTTTATTATTTATACATTAAATTTCATTTAAAATGTAATATATGTACAAATAGTATATTGTTTTATATGGAAGAGAAGCAGTGCTTTTTATGGCGTGGTCTGTCGCTTAGCGACGAACGCAGTGAGTCGCTAATGACAGATGAGCCGTTAAAATTGTGGCGTGTCCGACAGTTTGCCGGACGAACGAAGTGAGTCCGGCAATGACGGACCAGCCACAAACGAATCTGCTTCTCTTCCGAATAAAACATAGTATTTTTTCTTCAAACGTTGCAAATAATACGGCGCTAAAGTGAAATGTTCTTCAACGTTATGGCGCTAAAGTGAAATTTACTTTAGCGCCATAACGCTGAAGTACTTTTTTGCTATGTTGATCTTAGCAACCGTCGTTATGCAACAATGACTTACTTCTACCGCGAGTAAACACGACAACAAAGTTGTCATTTAATGACGTTTGAAGAAAAAATATATTTCCATAGAAACAAATTACTTTGTCCCACATAAAATATAACATGTCTATAGTTTGTTTTTTTTCTATAATACTTGTCAATGTAAATTTTTTAGGGTTTCTGTTGGTATTATCTAGGACCCTTATAAAATTTATGTTGTTTTCTTGATTTTTAGTAACATTTTCAGTAACTAAATAGTTGATGTTAAAATATTAATAAATTTTTAAATAAATACGATTTTAATAAAGTACATATTTGTTGTAAAAACGTGCTACAAAGTAATTAAATAGAACAAAACACCTTTTCTAGGTATAATAAATGGCAAATAAACGATTTGCCAAATAAAGAATTTTTGAAAAACGAAAGTTCAAACGTCAGTGTGACATATTTATTTCAAAACATGACTCCCTGTTAATTTTGCCAACTTTACAACAATATGGCAGGTATTATAGAAAAAAAAATGAACTATACATGTTTCTGATTGTAGGTCTAATGTTAATTCTAGTGCCCGTGGTAGGTAGCATTAGTTTTTATTGGACTAAAACTAGAACTATCATTTGAACTAATACGAGACCTAGAACAAGAATCATTCGGGTTAAGCCGCACGTCTCTCTTCTTAGCGATTAAAAACTCATAATAATTCAAAAACGCGAGAGGTCGTGTTCCTTGTAGAATTTTATTGAGATAATATTTTATTTGAGGGGTATGTCAAAGTCATCTAGTATGCGGAGGGTTAAATTAATTATAATTATTGTTGATTTTTAGAGATTTTGCTTGGGAAACCTTATAAAACACAAATCAAAAAATATCTCGTAATTTAATTAAAAACCACGTTACCAGCTACGTGTATCTAATGTAAACAAAAGGGGAAAATATTTATAAAAATGTTTATCTTTCGATTTAATTAGAACTTAATGTTATCGTTTCTAAACGAACAAGTAGTAGCAAGGTCTGCTGCGTTTACAAATTTTGCTTTATTTAAATTTTCATCATTCCCTCGATTAAATGTCCGTGAAGTTCTTGGCCAAAAAATTAGCATAACTCAGTTACACGTCTGTGTTATAAATGTATAGTATATTACACATTAACATCAATCGACCTTTGAAAATCAAATAATTTCTTAATTAACCATAAAATCTTAATAGAAATTAAAATTAACTCACCTCTAACTGTTGCTTCATCCAAAACGTGAATTTTCGTTTTAAACCTGGCTAAAATTACACTTAAACAAATCCTTAAGAAATAATGTAGTTCGAATAATCCATAAAGAATGAGGATGAGGGCACAAACACCAACCAATGCAAAGCAAAAGACCATATTTTCTTTTAAACTTTAACACTCAATACTATCACAGCCGAATTTTGGAATAAAATCATTCGATTAAATTGTTTTTCAATCGAAAGTGTTGATTCTTGATTTATTCGTTCGGTGTGCAATCGATCGGGACATATTCAGTGTTGAGGGGAACGATTTAAAATAAGAAAACTGCGATCGAAACGATTTCGGCATCGTCTTTGACGATCGTCAGCAGAAATATCGCAAACCGAGCTTGAGTTCATTCGAATATCAATATTTGGTGCGCATGCGGTGATTGACTCTTTTCTTCGTCTATTTTCAAAGTTGCGCAATGTAAACAGTTTGTTTAAACAATACTACCTGTAAAAGATTAATTAAAAAAAATCTTAATTTATTATTAAAAAAATAAAATGATTAAAATAATCATCAATATTCGTCAAAATAAACACTAATTTCAATTTTAACACTTCAAAATTAATAAAATGTTGAAAATTCTTGGTAATTTACGAATAGGTTTGCCATCTAAACGTCAAAAATGACGTTTTTAGTATATATTCACATTTATCCATCAAAAATGACAGTTTGTGTCATATTTGACATTTAATCAATACTTTTTCAAAATTATTTAGGAAAACCTCGATAATTAATCAATGTAACGCTATTAAATCTTTGGATAATTATAAAGAAGATAAAATAAGGTTCTAAGTTTTAATAAAGAACAATTAGTGTATTATCCCTTAAAGAATTGATTTTTTATCAAGGTTATGTTAAAAATTTCAATAAAATTAAACCATTACTTTCTTTAAAATACTTTATTTTCAAAATCATTCAAATCCAAAATAAAAAAATATACAAACACAATTTTCTTCTTTACATAGATGTCAATAATGTAAGTTTTTCATTTAATTGCAATTGTGTTTTCAATAGTTGCGACAAAGAAATAACCATTAATAAATCTTTAACGTTACTGTTAAACATCTCGGAGAATTGTTCGTTACTCATATGAGGTATAGAATTAACCAAATCGAGTAACGATCGTCCCACTGCGTTATTGGTGGGGACACGATTAGCTAAAACATCTTCAACGAAAACCAAAACTTGATCTAACAAAACCGTCAATTTTGAGCCAGCTTCAGAAACTTGGGCTAAATCGGACATTGGATGAACAGTTCTGAAGGTTCGTTCTCTAACGTTACCAGCCCCAATCGTTTTTTGACACAATTGTAATCCAAAGACTTCGGGATCATAACAAGTTATCTCAACAGAAACTGGGGTAAACATACATCCTTGTTTTCCACCTGGTACACCTAATGGGACACAAATGTATGCTTTTAAGCCCATTCTAGCACCTTGTAAACTCGTATCAAGCGTAACATGAACCGGATTGTTACATTCCCTTGAATAATACTCGTGGATTACTGAACTATGATTAGTTACTTCATGTCCTGTGGCCCACCAACCAACGATATTTTCGCTCGAGTTAACTTTTCTGTTTAATTCATATACATCCATGGCATAACTAAGTTCCGCTTCAACTTGATCATCATATTCTTTATGAGGTACACAGAAGCAATTTGTTACTTCTACGATGCCTTTATCCGCGGTACCTAAAATAAAAAAATGTTGACGTTTTAATTGTCAAATTTAATGACATGATAGAGGTTATGTAAATACATGCTGCATATAAATAAATGTATGAAGATGATAAAAAGTTTTTAACTTACCAAGTAAAGTACCGATAACACGTTGTGAATCGGCATTTCGTCGTTCGTAAGCATCGACAATTTGAAATAAAACGACCGGATGAACCTTAACCAACAAGTTAAGCGCCATTTTGACGAGTGAAATCAATACAACGCATCCAACATAACGGCGAGAAAATTCCCCATGTCGGTTTAAACTTGGTTATGCCGTAACGTTATTTGAACTCGTTATTAATGTAAAATTAATAGAAAAATTTTGTTAAATAATGTTTATAAGGATGTTGATGAGATAAATGAGGAATGTTAGCGAAAAATATAGTTTTATTTGTCCCCGGTCCTCTCCTAGAGTATTGATGGCTTCGCTCAAAATGGTTTCATTGCCCACCACTACCAAAACTGCCTCTGTGTATGCGTTGTTCTGGTATATCTGCAATGCAGGCGTGCCTCAACGACACCAGTTTGTAGTGAGTGCGGCCGTATTTTTTCCACGAATTACAGGTCTGTTTGAATTACAAATTCTAGACCGAAAATACGACCCCCTCCCGACCCCCCTCGCGTTTTCATTTCAAAATGCGATTGTTTATTGATAGACCCAGATAGATATTCCGGAGTCGCTTTAAAAACGTTTTTCGTATACTTTATGTGTGTTATATGCTATGGTTTGATTGAGACTCAAATATAAACATATGCGTAAGGTGACCTTCGTCGCGTACGTTAAAAAACGAAGGGAAATTAACCAAAAAGAAAAATTTTTTTCTTGTTATCATAAAGATATATTATAGAGGCAAGGAAATGAACTCAACTAATCCTATTATGTCATTTCGCAGGAGGAAAAATGAATAGTGACAGTTCCTCAGAATACACCAGTTCGGAGAGCACCACATCAGATAGTTCTGATTATGAAAGGTTCGAGTCAGTGCAAGCCTGTGGGGTTCGTTTACAATTACCGGAACCGTTGTGCCGCCAAAAGGAGATATTCGACAAGTTTTTTTCATCCCACGCTTGGAACTCCTTAACCGATAACAGCAGGCAACAATTAAGCAGGTTGTTGCCAACGTTCCCCGAAGACGATGAACACGAAAAGTACGTGACCCTACAAAGACTATTAGGAGGTGATTCTTTTAGGTTTTCAAGTCCTTTATTACAATTTCACGAGCGATTAAAAGCGGGGTATTACCGCCCGGAAATCTCCAAAATGAGGTACATGATACGTAAAGCTGAACGTGCCGAAGCTAAACAACGTTACAGGCGGTTTCGTGAACAATTAAAAAACGATGTATTGGAATCTCGACGTTCTTTGTTAAGTGCGGTTAGTTCTGTGCCCCAAATTGAGCCACAAAGTGCGAACGTTTCGTCGTTGTATGTGAGTTCGATTTCTTATAGGACTAAGGTGAGGTATTTTCAAGAATTAGCCACGATTAAATCGAAAATGGATGAAACGGGGTTTTCTTCGGACGATAATTATCCGGACGGGCCCCCGATTCCTTTATCGAGGAAACAGAAACGTCAGTTGAACAGTTTAAGGAATTCATATCCGGGGAACGTGGTTGTTTCAACGATGGCCTCGAAACCGTGTTTAGATTTAGAGAGACATGTCACGGCTCATTATAATCCTTTTTTAATAAACGATGAAATGTACAAAAAATTACTTTTAAGTCATAAAAGATTGAAATTGGACGATGTTTCTTCGCACGAGTATAACACTAAAGGATTGACGATCGGAGATGTAATCAATCGGACGAAATTGTCTTATATTAAAAAGGTTCCGACTCAACCAATTAAGAGGCGCATGGAAAAGAAGATTAAAAGTAGGAAAAAAATATTAAAAGCAACCCCACAAGTTGTTCGAAGTAAATCTCCGGAAGTTATCACGAAGGCTAATCCATTTTTTGGGTTGAGTTCTCATTCGGAGATTGAATCCGATTCGGATTCGTTGTTGGAAAGGAATTTGTTTAAAAGTAAAAAATTGTCCCCCGTTTTGCAGGAAAATCATTTTATAAAGTCGCCGGAAAAAGTTTCTAGTCCAATTTTAAACAGTATGAAGAGCCCTTATACGCCTTCTTACGGCAAAATCATTCCAGCCACATTTTCCGATTTGGACGCAATCGGAATGATGAATTTACCAATCGACTTTGAGGACGATTGTTGTATCGATATCTTAGAAACGAATAATCGAGTGGAATTGATGCAAAAAACCCACACAAATTTCTTATCGGTCATTCGAGACTTGATTTGTTCAACTTCCGAGCATCGAATGGATTATAACACGCTAGAGGAACGATTAAAACAATGGCAAGAGAATCCCATTAGCACCTTAAACGATTGGTACAGCTCCGCGGATAATTGGATACAATTATTGAAGTCGGCCGTTGATTTTTTGAGCGGGAACTCGTCCGAATTACCCCCAGATTTCGTGCCGTACATAGAATATAAATCCCAATTAGATATGTATCAATGGATCGGAGCCGGGAGAGATTCGGACACCTCGTTATCATCGTTAGCTAAATATTGGTTGGACCATCGAAACGAATCCAAAAATTTGATCCACATAAAAGAAGAAAAGGAGGAAATCGAAGTTTCCGATCGCTCCCAAACCCCTCCACCCCCTCGATACCCCACAAATTGGAGTGTGCGTCGTGCAGACCCCGAGGAAATTCGAAGTTACCAAGAGCAAGAACGAAAAAGATACGACAACCCACATAAAGCATTTACTTTTCGTTGTAACGGTTACGAAAGCGTTGTGGGGCCTTTAAAAGGGATTTACAGCGCGGGATCTGGCAGTACTAAAGCGAGGGGGCACACGATGTTGAGCGCGGATCGACCCAATTTCGTAACAATTTTATCATTGGTAAGAGACGCAACAGCACGTTTGCCAAATGGCGAAGGAACGCGAGCCGATATTTGCGAATTATTAAAATCGTCCCAGTATATATCTCCGACAGCCCCGGATAGCGTTTTGCAATCGGTGGTGAGCGGGGCTTTAGATCGGATGCACACTCAATTCGATCCTTGCGTTAAATATGACCCAAAAAGAAAAATTTGGATTTATTTGCATCGAAATCGCTCCGAAGAGGATTTTGAGCGGATTCATCAGCAATATCAAAACGTGGGAAAAGCACCAAAGAAAATCAACAAAAATAAGACTCCGATTAAAGAGAAAAGTCGAAATTTGAACAAAATTAAAAAAGAATCGACTCCGCCATCTCTCGAAAATAAACAAAAACACCACCAGAAAAATAAATTAAATTCAGATTTAACCTCAAATTCGGAACTAAATAACCCGGGGACTTCAAGTGCTGTTTCGCCGGGAACTTCGCTTCTTCTACCTCAATTAAATAAATTAGCAAAATTAGAATCGAACGAAATTCGAACTCAATCCCCGACGAAAATATCAAAACAAGAGGAAAAAGAAATTAACGACGCCTTACAAACTATCATGCAAATTCCGAGCCCAAAACAAAAAAGTTTGGTTAAAATTATATCGACGCCTACTCAGGGAAAATCTTTAATAATACCAACTTCGAAATCAGAAAATTCAAAAACACCCCAAATTATTCAACAGAAACTTCAACAACAACCGATTAAATTGGAATTAAATGAAAAATCTGATGTTAATAAAGTACAAACAAAAGTGCCGATTTCGGTGCAACAACAAATTTTGCAATCAATCACCGGTCAACAACAAATTCAACAGTTTAAAAACGTCGCGTTAATTCGGAACGTTTCCCAAAAATTGAACACAAATCAAACGATTCAAATTCAAAATACACAACAACAACCAATTCAAGTGAGCACCCCGATTTCTGTAACGAGAAACTCCGAAACGGGGTTACAACAAATCCGGGTACAACAAACCGCTTTGACACCGTCGCAACAACAGCAAATTTTACAAAGTTTAAAACAAAAAGTTGTTCCAGTTCAATCTTCAGTTTTGGGGGGACAACAACAGGTTGTTGTTAAACATAAAGGGATACAGAAAAATGTTGCTTCGGGGACGTCGTTGTTGGGATCAAATCGGATTAATACAGGTTTGTGGAGATTTTTGGGTCTAGTGTTAGTTCAACTTTTTGTTCAATGTATCGCTGTTTAACCTTTAACTCTCGCTTTACCTGTTGCTGTGGAGCTGTTCTGGTTTTCTAGTTTTACTCTATTTCTCGCACTACCTCAAGCTCTAGTCCTTGGGTTTTTGGGGTTTTGCCTTTACGTGCGAATAAACCCGAATGATTTGAGTTTTAGTTCAATAAAAAATTTAAAATTAATTTTTTTTTGTAGATAACGTTTCGAAATCAATTATTAATAGTAATCAAACCCCTTTGGTGGCTAAAGTGTTAACGAACGCCGCTGGGCAGGTTATTTCCGTTGAGAGTCTTTTAGCTCATCAAAAACAACACGGTTCTTTACCGCAAGGTTAAAATTTTTTCTTTTATATTAACATAAAGATAATTTTAACTTTTTATAGGAACAACGGTTCGTGTTTCTGGCATGAAAGGTTCCCCAACGAACATAATTCAATTAGCTCCCACAAAACAATCTGGAGGAGTAACTCAATTAGTCGGTTCTCAAAATAACATCATAGCAATCACGAATCAACCAAAATTGGTGTTTTCCTCGCAAGCGATGACCAACACAACCGTAACGACGACGAGTACAACGACGAAAAGCAACGCGAAAAGCTTAAAAACGCAAACGGTGACGAAGTTTACCCCAAAAATCGCCCAACAATTAATCAACGCGAAATTTGTACAAAACGTTGATAATAAATCGAAAATGTTGTTGGGCCAAAACCAATTAAAAACAACACCGAAATCGATCACCGTTACAAATAAATCAATGCCAACTCAAGGAAATACGAACGCTATAAGAATGGTGAACGCCGCGAATTTAAATTTAACGCATATCGGAGGGAAACCCGTTTTATTAGCTTCAAAAGGAGGTTCGTTACAAAATTTACAAGGTCAAAATGTGATCATACAATCGACTTCGCCTCAAAACACCAGCTCTGTTAACGTGATTAACCAAGGAAACACTCAGTACGTTTTGGCCCCACAAATTAAAGTACAACAAAGTCCTCAAGTTTTATTGAGTTCTTCAAACGTGAAGGGGAGCGTTCAACAAGTAGGGCAAAGCGGGCAAAGTCAATTGGTGTTGGGAGGACAACAAGTGAGGTTACAAAGCGGTGGTACGTCTAATCAACGAGTTGTACTCGCAAGTCAAGGACAAAGTGGACAAATTGTTGCTCAACAAATTCTTTTACCCGCCGGGTTTCAAGGAACCGCAATTAATATTAAAGCGTTACAAGGGGTTAAAGTTATTCCTATTGCGCAAGCTCAACAAACTGCAAAAGGTAAATGTTAGTAAAATTAGTTTTAATTAATTACTTTAATTGCTTTAATTGTAGGTGTACAAAATAGGCAAGTTTTTGCAAGAGTAATGGCGCCAAATATAGTAAGAACAGTACAAGCAACGCCGGAAACTGAAGGAACGGCTCCAACTTCAGAATAAGGTTAAAAAAAATTAAAATTAAGATATCGTGTAGTGTTTACGGTGAGTTGTGGACTAAAAAAAATTAATTAATTAATTACTAAATTAATTGTTGAAATTGGCGATTGTAAATAGTAGGTTTTTTAGTGAATATTTTTTTTTCTCTAAAAAATGAGAGAAACTGTGGAATTTGTAAATAAATAGTTTATATTTTTATTATCATCATGATTATCTCCTTTTTGGTGTAATATTAAAATCGGATTAATTAATTAATTATTTATATGTTGTGTACAAGTGTAAAGTAAAAAGTAATCTTAAAACGAAAATATGAAACGTTAGTTACATTAATAACAAGAAGTTGTTTTTGTATAAGAAATAAATTAATTGAGACACTTAGAAGGAAAAACACTGTAGCGTATCGTATGGTTTTACCAATTAAATTATAACATATATTTTTTACACAATCACTGAGAAATAAATAAAATAATTTAAGTGAAATGAATAAAATAGCAGTGCGAATCAGCCCCACGAAATGTTCTTATACATTGAAATACAATTCTGTTTCTAGATGAAAATAAAGACAACTATTTTCCTAAATCGTTCTATAATTTTAATTATTGTCAATAACGTAAATTTTCCAACGGCCATCTTACGACTGCTTTGTGAAGCATTGCTAAATTACAGTTTTCTGTATTAAAAATCTAATTTCATTTTTCTTATTATCAAGCAAATTTAGAAGCATTCGCAAAAATCATTTCATCATTTAAATTATGTTTATTAAGATAAGATTGAATAAATTTAGTTAAAAATTAGTGTTAATTGAGAACATTAATAAGAAAGAAACCAGAATGAATCTTATGATTTAAATGTCTGAACCTTTGATTATATATAATATGGATTGAGCTAACTGAATATATCTACTAACAAAAATGTGGCTCAAGGTGAATAGACGCAGATGGAAAGCGATAATGTGAAAGTGTAACAAAGATAGACATAAAACGGTACTAAACAGACGGGCGCATGCGCACAAAAGTGTCAAACCTCTTCCATTTGACGTTTATCGTTTTGTTGTGTCACAGCCAGTCACACCGTTATGTTTAAAAATGTATTGTTTCGTGTGCAAAGTTCGCGATAATACAGTTTCACATCACCTGTAAGTATTATAAATGTTACTTCTAATTGATAGTTTTTATTCTTATAAATTAACGCACGCCCATTATATGTCAGTACGCTTCTATGTCTATCTCGGTTCGATCACCTTGCGCAAGCTATCTCTCTCGTTGGCTCAATCCATATTATATATAATCAAAGGATACCCCCGTATCAACAATGCTATACATAGCGCACCTTATCAACGAAAAGTAAATACAAAGCGTTATAATTAAAATCGTAAAAGGTACATAAAGTGCGCTTAACGCAGGCTCCGAGCTCAAAAAGCAATAATTAACCGACGAATACTCCTTCATATTAACAGCCGACGATATCCCACAAACAATCAAAGCAATCCCCCACCCAACAAAATACAACCCAATAATCGGCTTCTTAATATGCTCCTCCCCAATTTCATCATCCTGCAACTCCAAAACGCGATTATCGTTCTTCCGTAACCTCTTATACATCCCGTTAACTCCAACGCACATCCACAACAACGACGATAACGTTAAATAGTGCAAAATTAATCCGATTATTTGGCACAACTTCAAATCCTCAGTTTGATAAATCCCAAAGACATAAATAAAACACAAANTTTATTAAATTAAATAGTAAAATAATAATTTCGTGAAGTATTATTATTTTTTTTTGATTAGACAACTTATCGTAATCATAGTAACGACTTAATTATTATAAAAACAAATTTAAATTCATGATGTTAACAATATCAACTTATGAAACTAAATCTTTGAATATCTCGAAAATGGTCCATTTTCGGACCTATGTTTATTAGGCTTTTTTTGTTTATTTTCGATCATAGAATACGCTGATGCAGTTTTGTACAATCGTTGCGGGACACTTGTATATAAAAGGTTGTCTAGGTTCGTACGCAACCATACTGCGCATTACGTCACATGTGGAAAATAATACCGCCAAGCAATTCAAATTAAACAAATGCATGGAGCACCATATGGCCATGCGGTTGCGTGCGCAATCTGTGATCGCTTACGTCACGAAACACTCCTGCTCTTACTCCTCGCCTACAAACTAAAATCAAAGTATTGCAGCATAGGAACTTAGATAACCTTTAACATATAAACCTTGAGATTGCACACCATGATTTTGTAGTTATGCAACCAAAATTACATGCTAGCAACAGTACCCTATTTTACCGACTACATAAATGTTGAAAAATCAACAAAGCAAGCGATCTCGGCTAAATAAACCATATCATCACAGAATTGGTGTCAAACAATGTAGGCCCTCCATCGCAAAGGATTTAATCTAATAAAGAATTGCTTTAAAGCAATTTTAAAATAGAAAAGATGTAAATATTTTCTAAATAAAATATGATCATTATTATCTATAAATCAACAAGATAATCTAAAAAACAAATTTTATTTTTCTTTAATGTAGATATTATTTACAAACAAAAAATAACAAGACTAACAACTAAACATTAGGCATTAATTTTAAACTTTACAGTGTATCAATAATAAATGTATTGGAAAACCCAATTTAAAAAAGAAAATCTGAGCGCAACGAATAATAATGCGTAATAAATCGATAACAATATTATATATAAAGTGGTATATCAGTAATGTAAATAAAAAATAATGTTTTTAATTATAATCATATTGAGAAATAGCAAATGTACACTTTTTGTAGGTTTCTTCTTTCGTTTCTTTTTTTACTTTAATTAGACTTTAATTTTTTCCTTAAAAACTATGATAATTCCACCGTGGAAATATCTATTCCGTGCCTTTTCAGCAACTCTCTTAATTCACTATTTTCACTCTCCAAAGCATTATTTCGTAGCTTTAAACTGTCTATTGTCTGCTCGTGTTGTCGAACTTGTTTTAATGAATCCTCAAGGTACTGTTGGCTATCTTTTAACTCCATAATATATTCACAAGCCTTTGCTAAAATTCCACCTTTTGATTGACCATCGTAATAACCGTTACCTTTCATTTCCGCTTGATTATTTTCGGGGATTATCTTTGAAAGTTTCACTATCCAATTATTTATTTTATCTCTACGTCGTCTTTCAACCTCGTTATGAGTTGCTCTTCGTCGTTCATCTCTTTTTTTACTAGCTGTCGATACTGTTGGGGTTCCCTCAACAATCGTAGAACGCGGGGCTATCGCCCTTGTACCCGTTTGACTTACAAATACATCATTCGAACTTCCTATCACGTATAGTTGTCCGTTTATGTTACTGGTTAGGACTTGTTGAACACTTCCCGGACTGGTAAAATTTGTTCCCGTCGTTACTATTTGAGAAACATTATCAACTGTATCTTCCACTTTTAATACTCCATATGTTATTGTACCTAAATTAATTGCGAAATTAAAAAATTATTTTTTTTGAGGTTATTTTTTTGACATGTTAAATTTAACCTAAAAAATTTTTAAATACCTTCTGGTGAACGATGAAAAGAATATTGTACATCATCTGGTGGTGTTTCAAGCAACGTTTGTGGTGATAAATGATCGACAACTCGTTGTTCATCATCGCTCTCCATACTTTGGTCATCGACAATACTTAAACCATCGTTTATAATAACCTTGGCTTCCCCATTGTCAGTGGCTACGCTAAAACACATCGAAATTGTTAAAAGCGCCCATAATAACTGCTTCTTTATCTAGAACTATATGGTAGCGCATTAAAATGACCTTGCAAATTAGCCATATTACATAACATCTTTACGGTGCGAAACATGGTTTGCGGTCCAGAAAAGCGGACTTTACCTCGCTTCGAGGGGATCCAAGATATCCATAACAGCCGTCCCGGTCCGTCTTAGCTGCGGATATTTGAATTTTCCGTCAATTTTGGTCACGGGGACAAAATCGGGTCATGTGACGCGACAGTAACTTTTGATAAATATCTTACGCGCACGCGCCTTTCACCATGTTTACAATAATTATCGCGTCAGAGTTTAATTAATTTTTAATTATCTCTCGACTATATATATGTATGTATATATATATATAACTTAGGCGAATCGATTTTGATAGAATGCAAAAGAAAATTTGGTTGTCAAAATAGTCATCATAACCTAATTTATATTCAAGTGTCAATTAATTCGCATTTCAATCATAAGATGGCGACTAATTCTTTTTATTTTACTTACTTCTTTTAATCTTTACGATTATTTATCTTTATTACGTGAGATTAAACACGCTTTAAAGTAAATAAATGGATTGTAGTAGATAAAGCATTTATTTAGGTTATTTTTTGTCTAAGTGCTTTAATTTAAAAGAAAGGGATATTTTTAACGTAAATTTATTTCGTAATTCGTTTTATAAAGATTAACGAGATTGTGAACAGGCAAGTTTTAACTAGTTTTAATTCCCAATATCCGTTCGCGCGTTAATTCAAAGTGTCTATGCCATTTGGTGGCTTCTGATTGGTCGACAAGCAAACTGTTTATTCTAGTGTGCATGACACCGTCCGGTTTATAGATCTGCGAAACATCCTTAAAAAGAAGGTAAAAAGGTTTATTTTTTATCTAAAAATTAACGAAGATTACTCATTAAGTATTAGACGATTAATTTATTTCATTATTACGCCTTATTATTGGTACGGAAAAAACATGTTTTGAGGTTATGTCTAATTCAATTATGACAATTAGTTAAACGTCAAAAAATTTTAAAGCGAAAACTAATTTGTTGTTTATAAATAAATCTTTTAATTATAAATGTTATGTAAACGCTTTCGATGAATTAATTGTGATTAATTATATTTTATAGCTTTCAAATTGAATCATATTGAGGCTCATGAAGAAATAGCAAGTTGCCATGAAGGTTCATCACTATTTAGGTTTATTCTGCCTTGTACTTGCCTTAACTTATGCGGATGATATAGATGATTCGGTAAGATGAACAACAATTTATTTTTTTTTAAATTAAAATTTTGATTTTTGTGAATTAGGACGAAGTAACAGTAGAAATTGAAGAAGAACCAATAGAAGAAGTAACATATTCTAGTCCAACACCATCTGATAGCAATAAAGTCTACATAGCAGAACACTTTGATGATGAATCGAAATTTGCAAAAACTTGGGTGAAATCGGAAGCGAAAAAAGAGGGAATCTCCGAAGATATATCTAAATACGATGGTTTTTGGGCGATCGAATCTCCGACAAAGGATGGATTAAAAGGTGATAAGGGTTTGGTGTTGAAATCGAAAGCAAAACATTCAGCGATATCCTCCCGATTATCTCGTCCGTTTATTTTTAACACTAAACCGTTGGTGGTACAATATGAGGTACTATTTCAAGACGGCCAAGAATGCGGTGGAGCTTATCTAAAATTGCTAACGGACGGTGTCGAAACAAAAAACCTGAATCATTTTCACGATAAAACACCATATACTATCATGTTTGGACCTGATAAGTGCGGAACTGATCACAAATTACACTTTATCTTTAGACACGTGAACCCGAAAAATGCTTCAATCGAAGAAAAGCATTGTAAAAAACCAAAGGAAAGAATCGACGATTTCTTTACCGATAAATTGCCCCATTTGTATACGTTAATTTTAAAACCTGATAACTCTTTTGAAGTTATGGTTGATAATAAATTAATTAATTCGGGAAGTTTATTGGATGATTTCACCCCACCGGTTAATCCCCCAGAAGAAATTGACGACCCAAAAGATAAAAAACCCGCCGATTGGGATGAAAGAGAAAAAATTCCCGATCCAGAAGCTGTTAAACCGGAGGATTGGGACGAAGATGCCCCAGCGCAAATTGTCGATGAAAACGCGGAGATCCCCGACGGTTGGTTGGAAGAAGAACCCAAACACATTCCAGATCCTGACGCGATTAAACCGGACGATTGGGACACGGAAATGGACGGCGATTGGGAAGCCCCCCTCATTGATAACCCAACTTGTGCTAATTCCCCTGGGTGTGGTAAATGGGAACCGCCTTTAATTAATAACCCGAAATATAAAGGGAAATGGAACGCCCCACTAATCGATAATCCAAATTATAAAGGAAAATGGAAACCAAAACGTATTCCAAATCCCGATTATTTTGAAGATAAACATCCGTTTAAAATGCAATCAATTTCCGCTGTCGGATTTGAACTTTGGTCCATGTCCGATAATATTTTGTTTGATAATTTGATTATTACAGAGGAGATGAGGATTGCTGATGAATGGGCGGCGGCTACTTTTGAGAAAAAGAGGTTGAAAATTGCCAAAGATTCTGTAAGTAAAACAATAATGATGATAAATTGCTATGTTGGAATTCATTTTTTTTTAACATTTAACAATTAACGTTTAGAATACTTTGTGGGAAAGAATTTTAAAACGTTTAGACTACAGACCCGGTCAATACACCATCTATTTCATCTACATATTGTTCGCAATCGGTGTTTATATCTGGTACTTTAACATATGGATGAAAGAGGTTTCCATTTTTTAAGCCTAATTTCTTCATTGGCTTATTAACTTATTTTTTATTTAATTTACACTGTTGGAAATAATTCACGAGCACACCCTATATAATCTGAACGCGTGAAGATAAATCCATAATATTTGCGAAGCACAAAGCTTTACTGTAGACGAGTTTATTCAGCGAGTTTCGAGTTGTTCCGTCGCGGCATTGTTGACTGAGCCGCCCTTCCAAGTGGAACATTCCGTCGCTATGGAGACCGAAGTGGATGGAAAATACCGCTCGTTTTTAGTGTGGTGTGAGGGACCACATTGTTATCGTACTCTGTGCGCAATGGATGAGCGATCGCGTTACTTAAGTGAGTTTAGGCGAGGAATATTTGTGGGCATGTACATTGAGGGTGTATCGTTCCGTGAAATTGCGTGTCGCACAGAAGCGAATTAGTTAAAAATCTTGGCCAAAAAGATATTTTTGTCAATTTTTTACTTCAAAATTGGTGGAAATTAAAAAATACAATTAACAAGGATAAATTTTATGATATACTGCTATTTTACTTAATTGTATCTACCTATATTTTTATATACAGGGTGGTCCGTTACTAATGAAACACAGATGAACAGGGAATTCCTTACATTAAATTGTCACGATTTAACCCAATTTATGCCAGTAAAATACAGATGATTAAAGTTAATACGTTATCTTCGCTTTTCTTTAATAACTTTGTTTTCTTTTACATTATGGCCATGAAAATTTGTATATTACCATTTTTTAAGACGATAAATAATAATTTGGTATTAGTTTTGATTTATAGTTCAGATGGCGCTGCCTGCCTTAAAAAACCCCTTTCAAGTAGACATATCTTTTTCATCGTTAAAATTTTTGCAACTCACACAACTTTTTTCAGACATCTTTCAGACAATCTTCTCTAAAGTTCTCTGTTTCCAAGATAATCACTGTTTAAGGGCACTTTGCAAAATTTAATTATGTTCAGTAAACATTAATAAATTATCGTTAAAAATGATTTTATTTGGTCAATCTGGGAAGTTACGTTATATGTTTTACAAGTTCGGAAGTTCGCCATTACTCTAATCAACATTTCTTGAGGAATACGAGCAACCTCTTCTTGAATCGTTTGTCGTAGGACTGGTAGAGTCCTCGGATGATGTTTGTAAACTTCAGTCTTAAGAAACCCCCATACAAAAAAATCACAGGGAATAAGGTCTGGAGATCGTACTGGCTNGTGAGTTTACTGATCATTTCATTCATGAATTTTTCGAAACGAGTTTCCCGCTTAAAAATTCCTCATTATCTTTAAATACATAAAGCGATAAAATTAAAAAATGATTCTTTGAAAATGATAGATAAGGCTCCATATCCCATATAAACATCGTTTCAACGGAAAGTCCGCTGCCCAGTTTATGATCCGTAATCTTCCTCTATCTCACCCAATTTCAAAACAAAAGGTTGCTAATATGAAAAAACTTCTAAATCTCATGGGAAAACTGGGAAGATACTACCGAAGATTTCATTCATTGATACCCAACTGTTCTAACCTTACAACAGTCAGTGACTGTTTAGTTCCTGAAGTTGTTGTTCATATTTAATTATTCATTAATTAATACGTTTCTTTTGTTTTTATTAAACAAACTTTATCTACAAATAATATTTTATTGGTGATCAACGTCAGGGATACGACACGGAGAAATTTAAATCAATTATTCAAATTTTTTATTCGTTGGTACAAAACCAACGTTATCCTGCATAATGGTACAAGACCAACTTTCTGACATATTCGTGCAAAATCATATAGCAATTAGGTAGTAATTACTGTCCGAACCCGCCTACTATAATCAAAATTTTTAACTTTAGCGCTTACTATTTTGGAATTGTAAATTAACGCTTATTTTCCGCAAATATACCATACATGCGATACATCATTGGAAAGCTAAAAATATGCTCTTTTCATTAACATTATAATCAAGTATAGTTTGTATTTAAAAAAATACAACTTTGTGCTGTATCTCAAATATTTTTAAAATTTTTCAACGTCAGTATATTCTACTTAAAAAAGTGCCTTAAGAACGTATCAACCCCAATTCTGTAATTTCAAAAATAAACGAAATATGAGCATTTTTTAAAATCACGAAAATTTGACTTTTTGGCTATAACTTAAAAACAAAAGAGATTGAGATTTGGTGTTTGCGGGATTGGGTTTGTCTCGAAAAAAGAGACCGGGACATGGCACCTACTTTTTTCGTATCTCTTATAGTTTCTGAGATAGCCTATAATAACACCCAAATTTGCCCACCCTGTACATTGAGGGTGTATCGTTCCGTGAAATTGCGCGTCGTTTGAGCGGTCGTTATCGGCAGTGCAACGGGCATGGCGAGAATGGTCTGAGGTAGGCATATATATACTATCTTCTATATCGCTGACTAAGGCAGCAAAAGAGTGTAAACACTAGAGTGCAGATATATATATATATATCTGTCTCTGTCGTGCCCCCGTCTACTCAAGAGACATGCGTGAACACGTGGTGAGTACGCTTTTATCTTATTGGACGGTAAATTAAAAATTAATAGCAGCTGATGACCTTGATGTTTATAAAACACCAAATAAATGTTTGACATAAACATAACCTAAAATCTAAATATTTAGTTATGTATATTATAGGTTTCATGTGTATAATAACATAATTATTAACATATTTTAGGACTAAGCAATTTAAAATGTAATTATTATTTGTTAAGAAAGTGAAGAAAATTTGTTAAAAGTAAAATAAAAAAGAA